AACTTACAATGAAGAGTCACATTGCCAAAGTCACCGCCGCTTGCTTTGAAGCTCTGCGACGAAAACCCCTCAGGGGGGATTTCTGACGGGCGTCTGAGCTCGTCAGAAGTCTTATGGGAATTCGCGCTCCTAGGGTGATTGTTCCTGAGCGCCCCACCACAGAGAGCTCGCGGTGTCTGACTGCAGGTCTCTGTTGTGGGGTCAAGTTATTATGTTGGTAGGATTCCTTACATTTCCCTTCGCTGTCTCTCTCGTACGGACGGCCGACGTTCCGTGTAAGCGACTTCTTGTTCGAGTGTCTTAGTTTCTGTTGCTTTTCACCTGTCCCTCCTTGTTACATCGTCTCTTTGAGATGCTAACGCTGCTTCTTTCAAGCCAGCTTCAAGGGGCTGGGCAATTAAGACCTTCCGCTCCTTGTAGGTGATGAACAATTTTTGATTTGAGAAACTTTCGATAACTGAGACCTTCCACCTCTTTGGTGATGTTCATCTTGACTTTCGGTGCGAGATAGCTAAAAAAACTGAAGAGCTAGTTAACATTTGGCCACTAAACCAACTAACTAACTCTGCGAAGAATACGCAGCATCAGCCGCTGTCTTTCGAGGCCGGTCCTCGAGGCCCTTGTGGTGGCGCTCGTTCTGACCAGATTGGGTAATGCCACACTTTATGGACGTCCCACTACAGCACTTAATAAACTGCAACCCGTAATGAACGCTGCTGCTCAACTCGTGTGCAAGAAGCGAAAATTCGACCATGTGACACGCCGATATTGCGCGATATTCACTGGCTACGCATTCAGCAGCGCTTGCAAATCAAGGTCGCTGTTCTGACGTTTCGATGCCTCCACGGCCTGGCGCCTCCTTATCTCACGGAAGGTCTGCAGCGCCTGTCGGATCTGCTTTCTAAAAGACGATTGCATTCGTCATCAACAGCGGACCTCGTCTTACCATTTACACGTCTATCTACCGTCGGCAATAAAGCGTTCTCGGTCGCCGCGGCCAGATCCTGGAACAGTCTGTCGGCTTCCGTAACTTCGGCTCCTTCGTTGCAGGTGTTTCGTCGACGCCCTAAGAATGAATCTAATGCTTAGTCGTTTTATCCGTTCCCATCCTTTCGTTTGCCTCTTTATTTTTCGCTTCCTATTAATCTTTTGTGAGACGATCCCTCGAAGTTTGTTTGAACCAGACGCCACGATAAATGCTTCGTAGAATAATAATAATAAAATGGTGAAACTGTGTGATTTGTTTTTGTGGTTTTAAGACTATTCTTCAGCAACTGACGTTGATATGTTTCTGTGCAGGAGTATGAAAACAAGTCTCTTGAAGAGCTTCGAGTTGAAGATTATCTGGCCAATCTTAAGAGTCCAGGACAAGGAGGTGGCCTCATGACAGGGGCTTTTGGTCAGAACACAGCCTCGACAGGTCTCTTTGGCTCCACTGCCACCAACACTGGTGGTCTCTTTGGTCAGAATTCTACCGAGACCAAACCACTTTTTGGATCGTCCAATACAGGTCAGCTGATCTTGCAACTCACTTTTTTACTAAGAAGCATCTAATGCTTTAGTAGCTGTATTATTATTACAGCTATTCAAGTCAACAAAGGTTATCACTGCCAATGACTCCTCAACTTGTTAAATTTATTACTTGTAGTGAATATTAAAAGTCCCCATTTTTTAAACTGGTTATCATTGTCATGCCCTTAAAATTGTTTGTAGAGATTGATTCTAATTAATGCGTATAATCCATTCGTAGTTGATATGTAATAATTGAAATGGCTAAATCATGGTTATTGCTATCTGCTTCAGGGTTCGCTGCACCTAGCAGCAGTGGCGGTCTTTTTGGCAGCAGCACCATAATTCCATCATTCGGCCAGACGAGAGGATCATCAGCTGAAAGTTTTGCATTCGGCCAAAACACTCAGCAGAACAAACCTGCCGGTGTGTGTGATTTCAGTTATTTGTTGAAAGGGAATCTAGTTTTATTTCAATATTCTCTCCCCATGCCGCCCCGCCCTTGACGTGGAGGAGGGCTTGCGAAATGCAATGACGGCTGTGGCTGTGTTGTCGGGGTTTCCCTTGTAGATTCAATTATGACAAATTGGCCTAGCCTTGAGTGTTCAGACTAACGGGGGTGGCACGTGGGCACGGTGGGAGGCGGCAGTTTATAGGCTGCTGTGGCCCGCCGTGTCCTCGGAACATGGGGAAGGCTACCTCATGACCCCGTCGGGGTAGAACAAACCGAGCTAGGGTAGTTTCGGGTTAAAAGGCCCTTCGTGTTCTCGGGGTAACATTTGAGGGCTGCCTCGGACCCGGGCTGTCGGTGGGAGGGGTATTTACTCCTACTGATCGGTGTTCGCCCACCTAACAGCAGAGATGCTGCAATAGGATACCGATCCACCGAGGGTCCCTTTTCCGGTTTGAGCCAGCCTGGATAGGGGGAGGGAGACCTCCTCTGAAAGGGGTACATAAAGCCAAGCGCTTGCTACTCTAAAAACCCTCCTTCGGCCGATACTTCGCTGACGACTGGATCACCTTTTACGGCCCCGGCGGCGAGCGATGGTACCTCATTGATCTCTACGCTGGAGCCGTTTGTCTCGCGCCTCCAGGCCCCTGGGCCTGGCAGAGCCGGACAAAAAAAGAAATTTAAACACCAGGGAACATGCAAACAAAGGCAGCCAACTCCAGAAACCCGCACCCTAGGTTATCCTCGCGTCTTGCGCGTCTTATCGACGACGGGTGAGATCCTAACTGAAATTGATCTGATCCTGGCTAACCAGCAACTAGTCCACTCTTTGGGTGGTGAGCCGAAAAATGTACATGAGACCCGCAACGGAGCACTCATAGTGCAATTACAAAGCAAAACCCAGAGCGAAGCAATACGAAATATCAAGTCATTGGCAACTTGTTCTGTCACCGTTGAACCACACGGCGCATTGAACGAAACTAGAGGAACTATCTACTACCGCAATGAGCCCACGTACACTGTCGAAAATCTACAAGAGCACCTCAGCCACTTTAATGCCAAATCGATCTACCAAATGAAAAAGAATATGCATGGTGCCCTGGTGGACCTACCATTATATGTACTGACCTTTGCAACACGCAAACTCCCAACTGAGGTGAAAATTGGGTGGCACCGATGCTACGTGAGAGAGTACATCCCTCGCCCACGCCGGTGCTATAAGTGCCAGCGCTTCAACCATGGAGCCAAAACATGTCGAGCAACCATTGCCATGTGCCCCAGATGCTCAAAAGATGCCCATGAGCTGCCGTGCCTCCGCCCGCCTAAATGCCCAATTTGTGGTGAACCACATAAGGCATCCTCACCTAACTGTTTCCACTACAAACTCGAACAGGAAACTTTATCAATCCAAGTCAAATAAAAACTAATGTACTGAGACGCCAAGCGCCCAGGCGAATGCCCTTGTCCCACGACCAGGCACCATGATGAAATCGGCAATTCTGATCACGGGACGCTGAATTTGGACACACCAACCCGGCTTCCAACCGCAGAACAACCCTCATCGCCAGACCTTTCAATCGCCTCGGATACCCTGATCACCCACATGGATTAGACCCCCATGACCACCCTGTCATCCGACCACCTGCCAATCATTACACTGCAAGCAGACTATCAGACAACCAAGACCCCGAAAATCACCTTCACGAACTTTGCCAAAGCCGACTGGGAAAAATACGCTGCCGACACCCAGGCCGCCTTCGAAAACTCCGTCTTCCCTGCCAACTTGTCTACAGCCGAACATCAGTTTCGTAAAATTTTAATCAGCGCAAGCAACCGTAACATTCCTTCAGGCCGCCACATCTGTTCCAAGCCGGGCCTCTCCGAAGACATCAGCTGGACCTATCGGAATTATTTACCTGACACGCTTTCTCAATGAGTCACTCCGAACATGCCGAATTCCCGACATTTACAAATCCGCCAAAGTCATACCGCTGCTCAAACCCGGCAAACCGGACAATGACGCTAAATCCTATCGACCAATCCCCTGCTTTGCCCCGCCATCAAAGTCCTAGAAAGATGTTTGCTACATATTATCACCCAACACCTGCCCCTAGCCGATCATCAACATGGATTCCGGCCCGGATATTCGACCACGTCTGCACTCACTCTTCTCACTACAGACATCATCTACGGTCTGAACCGAAAGAGGCCGGTTCACCGAACCATTATCGCCGCACTGGACCTCACCAAAGCCTTTGCCACCATCAACCACCGGATACTGATCGACGACCTTCTCGCCTCCCCACTACCCGGATCTATCACCCGCTGGATCTCCAACTACCTACAAGGCCGTTCTGCCTCAACGGAATTCCGCCATCAAAACTCTAAACACCTAACAATCCACACAGGTGTTCCACAGGGCTCCGTCCTGTCTCCTGCCCTCTTCAATTACTATGTCTCCAAGGTACCCCAACCACCACCTAACATCAAGATCATCTCCTATGCTGACGATTTCACACTCTACAGCACTGGTCTCGACGCCGACATTCTCACCCAGCAACTCAACGACTATCGCCCTCAACTCTGCAACTTTTTTCACTCACCGCAACCTGGAAATCTCTGCCAGCAAGTCAACAGTCACCCTCATTACACCGCATACGGTACAGTACAATCACCACCCTCAAGTCAAGATCAACAATCAACTACTCCCGCTAGAACACAACCCAAAAATCCTTGGCTTAATCTTTGAAACCATTCTCACCTTTACCACCCACCACAGAACCACGGCAGCAAAAGCCTCAAAACTCAACAACATACTGAAAGCACTCTCAGGCACCTCCTTTGGACAAGACAAGGAAACCCTACTACAAACATACAAAGCCATCGGTCGCTCAATAATTGAGTACGCCAGCCCAGCCTGGTCTCCTGTCACCTGTCCTACCAACATCACCCGCCTCTAAACAGTTCAAAATTCTGCTCTGAGAACCATAACCGGTTCTCCCATAACCATAACTGCCGAACAACATCTTCACTCCGAATGTCAAATGCTCACTATTCAACAACATACGGACCTCCTCTCAGCCCAGGACCTTCTGCGGAGCCACCTACCTCAACATGCCTGCCACTAAATTACAAGAACGCACCCAACCCGCAACATAAGAGACACTCTTTCCATCAAATACATAAATGCCGTTCAACCTTCACTCCCAACCACTATTAACAGTGCCACCCTCAAAGCAGCTAGCAGCACTCTCCATGCCAACGCTGCCCAAGCTGCCATAGACTCGTACCACCCACAGTACTGCTTAACGGCTGGTCTCCGCTCCCAGAAATAGATAAATCTGAACAAACGCTTCACAGATCCGCAAGACGAACGCTGGCACAACTTTGCTCTGGCCACTGTATACTCCTGAACATATACAAAAGCAGAATTCATAATAACACCAATAACCTGTGCAACTACTGCCACCTCACCTTGGATGATGTGCCCCACCTCTTAACAACCCAACGCCCCTCAGCACCATAGATCCTTGGAGGGACCCAGCTGCGGTTGTGCGCTGGCTCCAGCCACGGCTGGACCAGTGACGCCGGGATCGGGCGCGGGGCAATAACAAGAACAACATGGACATGCGATCCCCAGAGCCCTAACTGCGAAATGGAAAAACTACAATGGAACTGCTAACTCGAGTGAATTTTTATCACTGCTCTACGACCTTACACCGGCCTACGCGGGCCTTCAGGAGAGCATGTTGGGTCGATTCGTGCCCCGGCTTCTAAATGGATACAGCGTCCTTACTCACTCGCGGACTGCTCAGGGCGTTCCGGGCGACGGCCTGATGTGCTTCGGAAGTAACGATCGAGCATTCCAGCGTATAGCCTTCCAAATCCCACTTCAGGCAGTCGCGGTGCGCCTCCATCTACATAGGCTGCTCACAATATGCAATATTTACATCTCTCCCCGGTACCTCTTGCTGTTTATGATCTCGTGCAGCTTAGTCTACAAGTTCCCTCCCCTTACTTGATCATCGGGGACTTGAACGCCAGAAGCCCAATATATGGGGAGATACAAACTCTAACCAACACGTAGACATCGTTGAACAGTTCTTAGTGCAGGCTCACCTGTGCCTCCTCAGCTCTGGAGCCAAGACACGATTGTGCACCCAATCGGGAGAATCATCGGTGTTGGACCTGTCCCTCTGTTCCCCCGATGTCGTGCTGGACTTGAGCTGGCGGGTGATGGACGATCTGCATGGCAGTGACCATATCCCAGATATCATTGATGTACTTCCGTGCCTCCCTGTGCATCGAACCCCGAGATATCTGCATGACAAAGCTGACTGGGCGATCTTCCGGCGGCATACACAGGTCTCCCCTGATGACGACCAAATCCGTAACCTTCCTCTCGCCCAGGCGATTGACAAACTCACCTCCTTAATCCTCGCAGCAGCTAATTGTGCAGTACCTAAAACTAAGGGCACCCGAAACCGGCCAAACCCATGGTGGACGCCCGCGTGCACGCTAGCAAATCTGGAACGAAAACGAACACTTCGCCGCTTCCAAAGATCCGGTCTAGTGGCTGTTAAAATCACACTCAGCCGAGCTCGAGCGGTGGCGCGGAAGATGAAGAAGGACGCCGCCCACTTGACCTCTTGGCAGCGCTATGTGTCGGGAATTAATTCGGACACCCCCTCATCAAAGGTGTGGAACAGAATCGGCGAGATGTCTGGGCGCTACAGCACGCAGCCCTCCCCGTTTCTGGTACACAATGGAGAACCCGTCTCAGAACCACGCGCCTGTGCTGAACTCCTCGCCGACCACTTTGCTTCGGTTAGTATCCGGGACCGTCACACGCCAGCCTTTCACCAACATCGTAACAGAATGGAGGCCCGCCCCCTAGACTTCTCATAATGCGATACTCATTCTTACAATGACCTATCTCCATGACTGAGGTTAAAGGTATGCTGAAGCAGTCCCGTCGGACAGCTCCAGGAGCCGATCAGGTCACCTACCAGATGATTGAACACCTACATGGAACAAGCCTGCAGTGGCTTCTAAATATCTACAACAGAATCTGGATGGACCACTTGTTCCCTGATGCGTGGCGTCAAGCTGTAACTCTTGCCTTCCTGAAACCAGGTAAACCGGCATCGGAGACCTCCAGCTATCGACCGATTGCTCATACTAGCTGCCTATGTGAGCTGTTGGAACGCATCATCAACGTGAGACTGACGAAATATTTGGAGCAGGGAGAGCACCTGTCACCAGGGCA